ACGAAGCCCCATCCGACATTTTTGCAAAGGAAATTGTTGTTCAGAATCGTCTCAGCTACCCCCCATTTTCGGCTCCTCCCCGAGTTTTGGGACACCCTGTATTTAGTTTGCCGCTACACCGAACTCCCTGTTTTTTCCTACGGGTTTCCCCTCGTCTCGCTCGAGAACAAAGTCAAGCCGAATAGCGTACCTCCCTCGAAATAAGCAACTCGCCGATCCCGACCGAGTTGCTTATTTCGAGACAATACTGTATTCGCTACTGTTATGCGACTATGTTTCATCGTGCTTTTAACAACTGAAGATGTTATTCTTCCGTGGTCTAGGATCAGTTTTCAGGTAACGAATACGTGGGGATATCGCGACGAGAACGACTCTTGGAGTGGAATGATCGGGATGCTGCAACGTGGAGAAATTGATATAGGCGGCACTGGAATTTTCTTCGTTAAGGAACGTATCGGTGTCATCGATTACGTGCAACTGTACACGCGAACACGGTGAGACATTTCTTTATGAATAACAAATTCATAAGCAACTTGTATAGAAATTGACCAGTACGCTGTACGTTTATCAGTAGCGTGTAAATTATTTACGAATTTATTTCGTTACATAATTCGTTTATAACAAATTCATAAGCAACTTGTATAGAAATTGACCAGTACTCTGTACGTTTATCAGTAGCGTGTCAATTATTTACGAATTTATTTCGTTACATAATTCGTTTATAACAAATTCATAACAACTTGTATAGAAATTGACCAGTACTCTGTACGTTTATCAGTAGCGTGTCAATTATTTACGAATTTATTTCGTTACATAATTCGTTTATAACAAATTCATGAACAATTTACGCGGCGCTTACAAGTTTCTAGAGTACCAATCAATTTTTGTTGATGGTACGTAAAATGAACGAACTATTCTGGTCACCTGTCTTAAATATTCGATCTTGTATATTTTATCTCGATAAATTAATTTAATTACCAAGTGCAGCTCAGTGTTCATATTCCGTGAACCTCTGTTGTCGACTGTGAGCAACATTTTCACGTTGCCGTTCCAACGTTCCGTTTGGATCGCGATCGGAGTCTTCCTCTTGGTGGTATTCGTTTTACTGTACTTTTCTACAAAATGGGAATACGTTCGAGGTACTTCTGAATACTGGGAGAGCCTGAATCCGGCGGAACAAACGCTTAGCGATAATTTAATGGTCGTCCTGGGAGCGGTCGCTCAGCAAGGTAGGTTAAGGTCTACAAAACGACCAAGTTCGATCTAAACAGGGCTGAATTTTACTTTGGGACACCAAAAATTATTGACTTTTGTTTTATACCATTTAGTAGCTTTTGTTATCTAGATCACAAAAATGGATGTTTCAGTGTTAGGAATCCAACGGTTAAAAAGTTGTGCGTATGAAAAATTGAGCACTTCAAACGTATTTGACTGGTTAATCCGGCGCCATATTAACTTTTATCCATGCTCCGTTGATCGATTAGGTAAAGAATGACAGTAAAATGGTAAAACATGTTACGAAAATACTGTCTGAGTAGGTTTGGAGCCTAAATTTTAGGTACGAATAACTTTTAAATCGTTGGATTCCTAACATTGAAACTTAGATTTATGATTTCTAGGCATCAAAAACTACTAAATGGTGAAAAAAGTCAATACACTTGGTAGCTCCAAAGTAAAGTTCAACCCTAACTGAAACTAAAAGACTAACATTACACTAGTTCGCTATGCGAACCCTTTATTTATTTATTAAAGTGTATAGTGTAAAATAATCAATTGCTATGTATATATATGTATAATCGTATATCATGTCTCTTTATTTATGATGTATGATATATATACAGGGCGTCCCAGCATCGGTGGTACAACCGAGGTGGGGGTGATTCTACATAAAAAAACAAATCGAAAATAAAGAATAAAATATTTTCATTTGAGATTACGTTCTTGAGAAAATCAGTTTTGAATATTTAGCGAGTATGCGTACACGTAACTATGGTTCAGATGGATGGATCCCGATACATGTCATGTGTCACTTATAAGTTGTACTAATATCATTAGTATCAAGATGATGTGCTGTATTACTAATTTCTGCCTACGGATTTAGAGTGAATTTAAATGAAAATAAGACACGTAATTTACTTACTAACTCACTCTATTAATGCAAAAATTGTTGGAAATGCTACCCATTGTGCTGCATACACAACTGTACTCGCCGAATTAAATTCGTATGAACACCAAATGAAACTGTGACAAGTGCTCAGAACGTCATGTCAACAGGAATGTATAGAAGTGGACACATAAACAAAAGTCTGTATCGGGATCCATCCATCTGAACCATAGTTACGTGTACGCGTACTCGCTAAATATTCAAAACAGATTTTCTCGAGAACGAAATCTCAAATGAAGAAATATTATTCTTTATTTTCTATTTGTTTTTTTATGTAGAATCACCCCCACCTCGGTTGTACCACCGATGCTGGGACACCCTGTATAAATCGTAATGGTGTCATTGAAAATGTACCTGCGATATAGCAGTAATATTTCTGTAATGTCTCGTGCTATATGTATAGGTGCCGAACATCTATGATTCTAACGCATGCCTGATGTTCGACAGGATATTACTATGAACCGTACAGGGTTCCACCACGAATCGTCACGTTAATGCTCCTAATCGCGGCTCTGAGCCTGTACGCCTCTTACACGGCCAATATCGTGGCTTTGTTGCAGTCCACCACCGACTCTATCAAAACCCTTGCCGATCTATTGAACAGCCCGCTCAGGTTGGGCGCGCAAGATATCATATATAACCGGTATTACTTCAAGGTACGTATAGTAGAGGACGCCAGGAGTAACGTGGATAGAACTTTCTGCTTCGAATAGGTCGAACAACCTTACCAGCGATTAAAGTAACAGGTTCCTGCCCTAAATAAGAACTGAACAAAATCATAACAAGCAATCGCACAGCACTGCAAACACTAAAAACAAATGTAAAGTGGGGATACAAAATTCTTCTATCGAAATACAAAATATATTAGGTTGTCGCCGAAAGTTTCTTTCGCGAGTTGCACTCAATTATTTTCTGTGGTCGTATTTATATAAATAGACAATCTAATTTCATAGATATTCATGTTGTAACAGTAATGGAACAAAATGAATCGTGCACAATTCAGTAATGTAACATAAAACATAAACTATTGTACATGTATTACTTATTAATAAAGCGAAAGAAACTTTTCGGACAACCTAATATTTCAATTTTAATCAACAGAACTTATATTATTTTGAGTTATTTTATAGCGTCGTGCGTCATAATCGAAAAAAATCGTCCCTTGTTTCTTTCTACCGTAGTCATTCCAAGACCCGGTAAGAAGAGCCATCGTGGACCAGAGGATCGAGCCAAAGGGTCAGAAAAGCAATTGGATGGACATTTCAGAGGGTGTTCAACGCCTCAGAACCGAATTGTTCGCGTTTCACGGCGAGCGTGGCACGACTTATAAAATAATCCAAGAAACTTTTCGGGAAGAGGAGAAATGCGGAATCCAGGAGATTTTTATGTTGGGCGTGCTGGACCCACTTATGGCTGTTCGAATGCGATCGCCGTACAGGGAGATCGTAAGAAACGTGTAAGGCTCGTAGCGAAATGCAAAATTCAACATTCATCGGTCAACTAGTCGTTTGCAGAGCTCTTTTGATGCACGAGACTGGCTTGAAATATCGTGAAGAGAATCGGCTGTACACGAAAAAGCCCGAATGTCAGGGCCAAACGAGTTTCATCAGTATTGGGTTCACTGAGTGCTACTTCGCGTTGGTCTCGATGGGATACGGCGCACTTCTCAGTCTCGTTGTATTGGCGCTAGAAATCATCTGGTACAAAAGGTATGGTTGGGCAATTATTCGAACATGCACCGAAAGGAAGAAAAATGTCAGTGTCTTAGAGTTACGATAACTAAAACTTTATTTACCTTTATTTCGATTAAATTCAAATTAAGTGGTATTTTATACACAATAATTAGTTAAATTATCTTTATTAAATTTGAACCACTGAATTTGGTTTCTATTAAGTATAAAAAATTAATAAATAAATGATAGAAAGGAATTAGAAACCTTTAATGCTTCTTTGTTTTATTTTATTTTACTGCATTTATATTGTTTAATCGTTCTCAAACCTTTTTGAAGCGGCTCCTACATGATGGAGGTCCAATGGACTGTTTTTTTTTACTTTAATTCGCAATAAACTTTGTTCTGAATTGTAAAACCATTCAAAACACGTTGTTTCGCAGTCGGAAAACGCAAGAAGGCAATAACCCAGAGTGGTGGGAACCTCCGTGTAAACAAACACCAATCAAAGATCCAGACATCGACCAAGGACTCGATCTAACGCTTGACCAGATAGAGTAAACGAGTACAAAATGTAATAAATACAGAATCTCCTATATACACGATATACACAGAACAGAACGTTAACCGCGAGATGGTATAAAATGCTGGTAATAATTCTTTGTGAATTCTAGCATAAGGTCGAGTGTACAATCGGGTAGATCGTCGACCCGTTTTGCAGGACTCCCAGCGATTCGAGCGAAGGAAGGAACTATGGTCTCTGGTGGAACCACGGCTCCATCCTCGATGTAACAGCAATCCTTTAGGATGCACCTCCTTCCCTACATAGTTCGACACATGTTTTCTCTTAGAAACGTAACTCGTTACTCTCTACCATAGATCTGAATAAAATATTTATAGTGTACATACGATTACTGCATTTTTTCCTATGTATATGCAAGAACCAACAATGGCAGCATTTACAACTGCCCGTTCTCCTACGAACACATGGTCTCCCACCGTCAGAGGAAAGAAGGCAACACTGAAGAAACAGAGAATTTGGGTATACGACGAACTAAATCGCTATGGTTGATATAATTCGTGTACGAACTTTGTTGCGAATTGTCTTGTTACATCTATCAGAGAGAGGAACTTACCCTTTGCTAAACTTTTTGAAGGGCGGCCTTATAATGGCGTTCTTACTAATGATGCAATAACGACCTATCCTAATATTGGCTAAGTCACCTCTGATGATAGCATCCGACTGCACGATTACTTTCCCGTGCAAAACAATATTCTGCGAGCCGCAGAGAACGGTTTGTCTGCTAACCTTATTCCCAGAGGCCTAGAACGTCGAAATCGTGAGAGGTTATGTAGACGTTTGTTTACCGATCTACAGTCCATTTTCTCTTACCGTTTCGACGTATTCCGCTTTGCTATAATAAATATCTTGAGGTTCCATATCGACCCAGGACCACGAAAATGGGATTGAATCAAGAACAGTTTCGCCAAATCGAGCAAATCACAACAGAGAAATCTTGGAACCACTTGAAACTGTCTAGTTGACACATTCGGTGATTCAGTCAACGCGATATATACTAAAGCGTAAAAACTGACTAGTGGCGCCATCTGTCGTCGAACGGTACAACTACGAAGCCCGTAGCGGCGATTCGATTTATTTGAGTTAGGTTATCGAATCGACATTTTGTCACTTATTGGTAAGCTCGAACGTTATTTAATTTATGAGTATAGGAGAATATAGAATGTAAGATTCCCTATTCTCATATATGAAAATATTGACTGACATTAATGCGTTGATGGCTCATCAAATTAGACGATTGATCGTTGAACCTACAGTTCGCACGTTCGAGGACAGTTCAAAGGAAGCTTGTCTCCGTTATTTCTCTTCGGCTTATAAATAAATAAATAAGTAAGAAATACTTCATGGAGAGATAATGGAGAGATAAAATGGAGCTTATGGAATAGAGTAATAATGGCGGTTCAAGTTCGATGTTTTCAAATGACGGGACCATGGCAACGGTGTGTAGAAGTTAGATACGAGCAAGTAGTATACGAATAGGGAAGCAGTGCTGCTACAGCAGTTTCTCTGAGTGGTGTCGTTCGTCGAAGGTGAACGTATGAAGTTTTCCAGTAATGTCGTTGTTCAAGACGAAAGAATGGTGGCGAACTGTTTGCGGTGCAAACGAAGTTTTCGACAAACGTAGTTTGATGGTAACTGCATTGTTTGGCGAGGATAAGAATGATGTACTCGTGGTGGGCAGTCATGATGGTTACCTGAGAATGTTCAGTCCCTCTTCGCAATGGGTCGAAGACACGAAGTGTCCGTCCAATTACAAATCCACGGACGCGATGATCGAAACACGAATCGCTGATTGCATCGTTGACACCAAAGTGGGGAGATTTGTATCGTGAGTATTATAAACTTCTAACAGATGCGAGCAATTTTGTAACAATGTTACTTGAAGCACCATTTCATGGCACGTGTGAAAATATTTTTTATTTTCCATTTCGAATCAAATTTCCACGACTTCGATTCGAAGTAAGAGGAGAAAGAAATTGGGAAAAAATTGTGAATTGACTTTTTGTTGCAGAGGCTCGCAGGATCTTCGACTGGCGATACTGACACCCACCAAGCTGGTCGTGCACCACGTGAATCTGACAAGTGGATCCACCGAATATGGTTTGTTGTATTGTTTCTTTATCTTAAGGGGGGAGTCTGGTCCAGCTAATGTATTTTTCAAATGCATATCATTTCCAGATATAATTAATTTTTGTTATTGAAACTTTTTTTACATATAAAGGCACGTTCAAAGAAGAAAATTTGACAGTTTAGATTTAATTTGAATGTATACGTATACGTATAGATATACATAGTAGTCGCAAGGAAAGGATTCGGTCAAAATGGTGGGACGCATAGCTCATCGAATTTTGATCCGATTCACTTGATTCAACGCTTAACACGTTCACTGCCAGACTAAAACTCTTCAAAATTTCTACCGTGTTTAAATTTTATTTACACACTATTGAAAGCTGCGTAACGAAACATTTATTTTTGTATTTAGTTTCGTAACTTCATCAAAATTCAAGTATTTCGTTTAAATTCATTTTCTATGACGCTTAACTTTCAGAACGAATAGTTTTTATTTTTCAGTGAAAAGCACTGTCATCCATATATGGGTGACGTGGCGATCAACGTATTAAATCGAAGGTAATTAAGTTTATATCCTAATGAATCTTGACTCTTAATGAATTATTATTATAACATAAAGTTATTACAAAATAACGGCCGACATGTATCGTTCATTTTCATGTTTTTTTCCCGCCATTTTTGCAATTAACAATTTTGTTTTGCAAATTGAGGTTTATACGCATTTTACGTACCTACTAAAGAAAAAAATTTCTGATTTTATCTATCAGATGTTTTCCCAGGGCTCCACGTGTCCCACCGTTTCGACCGAATCCTTTCCTTGCGACTACTATATCTATATATGTATACATTCAAATTAAATCTACACTGTCAAATTTTTTTCTTTGAACGTCCCTTTATACGTAAAAAAAAGTTTCAATAACAAAAATTAATTATATCTGGAAATTATATGCATCAGAAAAATACGTTAGCTGGACCAGATCCCCCCCTTAACACCTGAGATTTCATGGTTCAAACTGTGATCGAATATGGTCGGCTGTATATATCCCTATCTCTATAAAAAAGAAAATTGAAATACGACAGAAAAAAGAAGATGGATTAAATTGGACTCTTAACGCTCTCTTTATGAATTAAAATATCGAAATGGACAGTAAACTGATCACTAGAGTGGACTGGACTCGACTATATTCGGCTAAACTCGATCTTCAAATCGTTATCTCGAATAAAATTGTACCCGTTTCCGTTAACGAAGAGATTGCAACGATCGTGCATTCTTTGTGCGACCTTTGGCGAGCTCGAAGATGAGTTTACGTCGAACACACTCATATGCTTCGATGCGATAATCCCATGGCAAAGCTTCTACAGACGCGGTCCTTTCTCTTTTCTCCCATTGTGAGGAGGTTGTCTATTCGATCGAAAACTGTACAAATGAAGATTTATCTCCTAAACCATCATCGGTACCAAGTAGCAATCCTATACCAACGCCATCTTTTATTCGTTATAGGAGTAGTCTTTTGGACTAAATTTTCTGTTGGACTAAAAAACCGCCTTTCCCATCGTGATCATTGTTTTGAAAATGTACCGAAGCTGAATGGATACAGTCAGACCCATATGTATTCGTTCTATCGAAGAAATTTGTTTAAATTAAACGATGGGCCTAATGTTTCCAAATAAATGTTTCATGATAAATACGTACACGAATAAACTTTACACGCGTACATATTTATAACGAAAAATTTATTTGGAAATATCAAACCTATTATTTAATTTAGACAAATTTCTTCGATAGACCTAGAGGAATACTTATGACTGCATATAATTATCCATTTTTAAAGATCCGAGCTCCTCTAATAAAACAATTCCCAGTCAGCATCGATTCCACGATGACTGAGATACGAAGGGAATTAAATGGAGAAGAAATTGTGAATCGGCTAACAATAATATGTATCATTGCTTTACTTTCAACAGGAGACCGTTGCGACTTGAAGATCGCGTACGAGCATTCGTTGCCACGATTCCCAGCATCTCTGACGACAGGGCCCTTCGGTGGTGCACGTGGCAGAGATTTCCTCTGCGTGCAATGCTTGGATGGGACGCTCCTCTTCTACGAGCAAGAGGTTTTCGCGTTTAGCCTGGTTCTTAGGAATCGCCTGCTACCCGAGCCAATCGTCTACGTTTCGCGGAACGACCTGTTCGTCACCGCGAGCAGTCGTTGGTTCATCGAGTGTTACAGGTATTATATTCACTCTGTCGCGGAAGAAAGTGGAGAGAGAGAGGTGCAAACGGGGAGTGGCCAGCTCCGATTATAGTCATGCATAGATAAGATGTACATTAACACGTAGAAACAATTATTAACACTTTATTTACCGGGAGCCTATTTATAGGCTTTTTAATTCCGGCTTTTTAATTCCGGCGTTTTAATTTAGCTTTTCGAATTTATTTACTGTGTTGATGGTTGTCTACTTACAATGTTCAGTTTTTAGAAACAGACTTGGCTTTCTTAGTAGTACTTAGTAATAGTATGAAGGAATTATTGTCAGCCTAGATTGGCATATGCTACTGTAGAAAATTCTTTTTTGAATTAAACACTGTTTCTAAATAGCCCAGTAGATAAAGTGTTAACAGTCCTGAACCTGTTCATTATTTTTTTGTTTAATCTGGAAGTTAATGTATATTTCAATGTATCAGGGGGTATCATTGTGTCGTATGTACTACGTCTATTGCGTGTTTCCGTAGGTATCAAAGCATGGCGGAGTCAGCGAGGAGCAGAGAGGAGTCCAACAACATGGACCAGCGCGCTGAAGTCGAGAACCTCGAACCAGACTCGAGCTACAATATCGGGGAAGCTCTTCTGGATATCCAGGCCGTCACCCTGAGCAGCTTCGAGGTTGGGATCGTAGCGTTGGGCGAGAAGCACCTGTACTGTCTAAAAGACAACTGTACGGCGGTCAAGTACTCGAAGAGGCTGGAGTACAAGCCACTCTGTTTTCGAGCTTACATTATCGGTAATCCGCACCTATCTTCTCACGAATTCGATAAGAACCCTTAACACGTTGACTGCCAAACGAATATACTTTAAAGTTTCTACTAAAATGAAGTATTACTTAACTATTGGAGACTGCATAATCAAACATTTATCGTTGTATTTATTCTTGTAATTTCATCAAAATTCATGAATTTGGTTTAAATTCATTTCCTTTGATGCTTGACATTCGGAATTAATTTTGTTAGTTGTTCAATGGAAAGCACTGTCGTCCACACGTGGGTGACATGGCGATCAACGTGTTAAAGGCTTCCTGTTAGCCCTGAGACCCAGAGACCTTAATGTCCTGAGCTTTTTGAAGCCGAAATAATCGTCCAGACGTATAGGCTAGTTGCTATCTGTCATTATCGATGGCTAACGACACGACGACGCGTTTAAGTAGTTTTAATAGGCTGGAGAACTTGGCGCTGTAATTGACTGCGGCACTTCCAGAGCCGGACGGGAAGTTGATGGTACTCGTAATTGCCGACACGAACACTCTGATGATTTACGAGGGCACCACGCTCAAATGGTCAGCGCAGTTGCCTTTTGCTCCGGTCGCCGTCGCTAGGGCACAACTGCAGGTGAGTCGTGTGGCAGCTTCCGTCTTTCAACGATTGGCTCTTCTAGAGCACGGACATGGTTGCGAGACAATCCAAGAATAGTCGCAAATTTGGAGTACGCATAGGCGCAAATTATTAGGTGTTTACATAAGTTTTGTTGGTTTCAGTGTTGGATTATTTTATTAACTAAATGAAATCAATACGTTTCCGAAGTAATTAAAAATGGTATTATGCCAACAACTACAATCTGTTATTTATATCTTCCAATACAGGTTGACCAGTCACATCGATATCATGAACACTTACACTACCGTTTAAAAGTATTGACCTTTGCTGGATAGTTGGCGAGGGTCCCTTAAATTATAGGGGACTGAGGGGACAGAGTATTACGCGGATTAGGCTCGTTTCGTCCAAACCTTCCCAGTTCCCCCTTTTTTTGCGAACAGTCACATTACATAGTCGTATTCTGATGACTGAATAGCGATCCGATAAAAGTTTAGGTATGTAGTTTAACTATGCTTAGCATGTATTTATAATATTATGTCCGAGTACTTTTGGGCGCTAGTGTAGTTCAGAAATGCAGATGTATCGCTTTCTAGCACTATCTAAACGTACTCTACGAAACTTACGCATACACCAAATACTTGAGAGCTGGGATAGTAATCCCAGGGATTCGATACATCTAAAGATTGCCTATTCAAAGATGGAATAAAAGCACCAACTGGTTCCCTACTTTGAACCATCGGCCCTAAAACACTTGCTATCCCCCAAAACAGTTGTATGTGCCTACATTCCACTCGAAGAAATATCTCAAACACCTATAATGGTAGCCAGCAAAGGGTAGGATAAGAGGACGCACGCGGAGAAGGACAAACGTCGTCAAGAGTTATCGTCCCGAACGTTATCTTCGCGTTATCGTCCCGCACAGCGTCCAGCAAGGTTGCCGTTGTTGTCCTTCCGGGAGATATACTAACTGCCGGTTCATTAATTGGCTCGATACCGAGAAACGTGGTCACCGTCGGTGCAAACGTAGGGGTACTCGGATGAGACACCAGAGGACCAGTCGGGATCAGTCACCTGCTTTCTTGAAAGGTTCCTGCACGCTCCTGAGATCCACGAATACATTTTTCTAAGTAGAGAGGCTGAGAGTCGGTCTAAGAGGCTAAGAGACCATTCACAGGGAAGTTAACTTCAATTTCCGTTAAGCTGCCATTCCTTCCACTTGTCAACAAATTGTAAAGATTGGGACTATCGTTTCTCGTGCAACAATCACCTTCTTGGAGAACACGGTTCCAGGTTCACGTATCCCAGGACGTTTGAGACTTTCGATTAGATAATTTCAAAACGAAACGAAAATGTTTTGATCGTAAGGTACAGTGGGTGTAGAAAGTATTCGTACACCGATCAATTTCCAAAAAAACTATGTAAAATTGTAATTTATCATAGACAGATATAATAGATAGATAGAATAGATAGATTACAAACAAAAATAGCTATTTATGTAAGTTACGAAATTAACAAGAAAAAAAAGAATTAATCGATAGAAATATCGATAGCAATAAGTATTCGCACAACTGTTTAATTTTTAAAACATCATTAATAAAAAAAGAAATTTACATTAATTTATAAGTATACAATACCTCCTTCGTGTGATTTCCTTTTGATTTTATAATTATTGAAACTCTTCTAAGCGTTAAATTATCTAAATTATTAGTTACTCGAAGTGGGATCTTCTTCAATTCCTCTATTAGAGTTACTTTTAAAAGTACTTTACCGGAAATTTGATGTTTTTTAATTCAAGAGCAATAAACTAATCTGTTTACGTTACAAATTCTACTGTAAATGGTTCGTCATAAGAATCGTACAAATACTTATTGCTTCTACACTTTTACCCACTTTTCGCATTTTCTTGTTAATTTCACAAATTATATCAACTAGTAAATGTTGTTTGGACTATATCCATTTTAGAGACTTCCGAGAATACGTAAAATATCATTGATTATAAAAAAAAGAAGTTAAGAAACTACAATTTCACACAAAAGTTCTTTGGGAAATTGATCGGTGTACGAATACATTCTACACCCACTGTACACGAAAGCGCTAACGAAGCCGTATCTAAAAGGTGAAAAGATAACCTAGGTAATTTAAACGTAAAATCTACAAAAACAGCACTTTCTGACACATCGAGGAAAGAGTTTCTTAGGATGGTAAGACAACAGTAATCCAATCGTGCTAGGCAGAATCAGTAAAGAAGCCTCACTTGAAGCCTCTGATGGACCTAAGACGAGACATCTATTTTTCCTCCTTTCTTTAGCGGTAGAATCGTGATAGTTTAGAGGTGGAATAGAGATAATCAATGAATGCTTTTAGCATTTGCAAGGCGCAATAGTCGTCCTGTCGGACGACGGCCGCCTGGAGGCTTGTTACTTAGGTTCGGAGCCAGGATTGTTCATTGCGCCACCGCTTCATCCAAGAGGATACGATTACGCAGCCGCGGAACAAGAGCTGACGGAGTTGCGAGCACTATTGAAGATGAGCAAAGCCTCAGGTGAGACCCAAATGAGACAGCTTCGATGCTAATCGCAGCAAAAATCTTATGATAATTATTAAAAAAACAACTTTCTTTAACGACACCTAAAACGCATGCTATTTTACAATTTCTACAAATTTCGTACAAATTTATTTTTTAAGCAAAATAGTTATGGTAATTATTAAAAGACAACTTTTTCTCGGTAATAGCTAAAATAGATCCTATTTTACAATTTCTGAAAGTTTCACAAAAATTGCTTCATAAATAACTAAGTTATGATGATCTTATTAACGTACAAGTTTGTCGAAAAACATTCGGTCTTAGGCGTATGTCTGACAGTTACTTAGCGATCCTGAATGTGTTGAGACGCGTGTATGTGATCCTTAAGAACGGAGTTGCATCATTGTCTCGCGATAGCCAAATTATTTCTGAAGAATAGTAACGGGACTAATTGGTCGCAACGTTGCGCAGATGACAAAACCAGTAACGCCACAGTGGACGCCGAGCTGATAGTCTCAGTGAACGTTTCGACAGACTTAGAAGGTAGCGAGAGAGCCGGAAACGAGGATGTCTCGGACGATGACACGGAAGGGCGGCCATTTGTGTGCAAAGTCGCGATAGAATTGTCCTCGTATGCCACGATACACGACGTCCAGATTTGCGTCCAAGTCAGCAAGCCCCTGATTGCAACGGAGGACTTTTTCGTCATTCCCAATCTGTGTAAGCGATTAGTTGATCACAAATTATCGTGTATCTAGCGTGAAGCTTCGTTAGTTATCATGGATCGATTATAATGTAAAGGTTTGTTAGTCAGAGGGCTTGACAATAAACTCGAGGACCCTGTCTCAAAGGGTGAAACCACTCTAGGATTTTCAAAAAATCGACTTTTTTTTGCTTAAACGATACTTTAGGGTCATAAAGATAATACGTCATTTGATTTATAGTGAAAAACAAACGTTAAAAGGTTGAATTATCGATTTTGCCGCAGCGCCTCAGAGCGCGATTAAAGTGTTTATAAAACTATAAACGCGTTTTTCTCGAAACCACTTTTTTCAAACTGCGAGGACGGATTTGTCAGTGAGTATTGGATGGATCGATTTGAAATTTTTACTGAGATGCTTATTTCGAGACAATACTGTATAACGAATTAGAGCAGATGTTATAGAATTTTACTAAAAGATATACAACTCGGCTACCAATAATACTCGTTTTATATGAATAGGATGATGCTAGGATGAAATCTAAAAAATTTCAGGCGAACGAAGCACGACGGAGACGACTGTTTACGTGGACGGAGATCTACCACCGATATCCTCGGAGGTCGAGATCGTCGTGACTTATCGAACGGACACTGGCAGTCTGCGTATCGTTCGAAGACTCGCTCAACTTCCGCTGAAGATGATGCTGAGGAGCTGTCCCCCTGAGAACGCCACCACCTTTACGACTGTCGTCAAACGTAACGATCCTCTCGTTGGATTTACTCAGCTGTTTCCTGGTAAATTCATCGCTAATTTTGATAATCGATGGAATTGTTACGTGCGAGGGCTTCACTCTGTTTCGTAATTTCTATCAGACCTCTCATCCGTGACATTTGCCCTTTCGAGCGGATGTGACCGCGGCCCTTCGATAAAGTTTTTACTAAGAAACTAGGGCGCGTCGCAGGACTGATTTCCACGGAAAAATAGGAGCTAGAGTAGAAAGCATTCGTACGCTGATCAATTTCCAAAAAAAAAAACTGTGTAAAATTGTAATTTATCAACTTATTTTTTGTGAACCATGTCGTTCTACATATTCTCGGAAATCTCTAGAATAGATAGATTACAAAAAAAAAAAAATTGCTATTTATGTAAGTTGCGAAATTAACAAGAAAAAAACAATTAATCGATAGAAATGTTGAAGCAATAAGTATTCCCACAACTGTTTAAAAGTACTTTACTGGAAATTTGATGTTTTCTAATTCGCACGGAGCAATAAACGTGTTCACGCTTGTTTTTGTTCATTTCACAAATTATATTGACTAGTAAATGTTGTTTGGACTATATCTATCTTAGTATTGCTGTTCAACTTGTATAAATGTTCAAACTTATGCGCAAGCTCCTATAGGTAGTCTTATTTGCTTTTTTGTGACATAATTAATAATATTCAGCAGTATTTCGCGATCAAAAGAAGCAATATGGTGGTGCAACGGTGCTGCCGCGTTGTCTGAGCTAACATACGCTGCTGAATATTGTTAATTATGACACAAAAAAGCAAAAGTAGACTGCCTATAGGGGGCTTGCGCACAAAATTGAACATTTATCTAGCGAAAACGACTATTGAGAGGTCTGAAATTTGCATTGTCGAGACAAAAATTAGGACGATACGCAAGCCCTTGCAGTTCCGTGTACGTATACAGCGATGTGGAACTGTGTGAGTGCGTACGAGCATATACAAGGCACGAGAGTCCACTCCCTTAAGAAGAGACCCACAGCAATACATCTTTACCGCTCGAGGTGTATTGCATAATAGAAGTTACGAGGCCAATTAACAATCCTAGTGGCAACCCCGCGTTACGCATACGTAGGTGCGTCCACGAACGCACATCCCCGTTAACAAAAATTGTGCAAACGACAACTATCCTCGGCAGCGCGGCCGAAACAAGGCTCTCAGCCCTCGGCTCGTAACAGAATCTACAATAGGTTTGAATGAAAATTGGTATTCGAGAGTTTTTGAAATAAAAAACTTCGGGAATAAAAATGACGCCGCTGGTAGCGGCGCCAGTAGAGTGCAAAGGGTTAAACTATCGAAATAGAAAGATCGGTGGTCCCTTTGAATCTTTTCGTCGAGAAGCAGATAGGAGGTGGGGCTGAGGAGAGCACGACCCCCTACCGTTTTCTCCTCTGTTCTTTCCGACAGGCTTTCGCCGACGAAAATTATAGCCCGGGATATGTTACGATCAGAGTCGGGATGTTTCGGATGGCCCAGGCCACCTAATACGATAATCGTTGCTCCCAGCGGCTGCGATCGCCCTGTTCGGTTTTCTTCTTTCTTTTACGGACGCTCGCCGCGCAGCTTGGCGCACCTGGCCGATTTCTAACCGTGTAATTTATCGACGCGGCGAGACCGCTTGTTGGGCTCTTTCGTTAACTTAATCACGATCGGGGATGGGTGCGTTCGACTGATCTTTTGTAATTGAAACACATCTGAAATACCGACCGGACGTATCGGTAGTGAATGTATTAGTACCACTGACGGGCATCTGGAGGTCTCCGCGTCCCTTGGAGGTTGAATAATAAAAAAATCACCAGAAGACTTATCGCAATGTATCGTTGAACTATCATCAATCCGTAAATCGTAACGAATTATCGCTAATCGAGATGAGTAATTATCAATCAATATCAATTATTACGATTACGTTTAATTAGCGATCATCGACCACCATTGCGACCGTCGATCGTCACGAATCATAATCAAAACGTTCTTCGACGTCATAGAAGGTCGAAATATTAAACACCTTTCCATTTGACTATGATTCGTGTTAGGATAATAATAATACGTCATCTCATTTTTAAGTATCTGCGATGGTCTTAAAATCTTTGGAATTTTGAATCTATCGACGGTGTTTCCCCTTGAAATAAATACTTTTTTTCTATCTAATTTTACGTTTCGACGGTTCATCCAAGGAGGATGTTCGAACGTAGAAAATCACCGGCTGGAAGAGAAGCTATTAGTCTCCCTCGTAATTTACTCTACGCGTTGATAATTGAAAATAGAGGATACGCTTGTTTGAACACGTAATAGGCGGTGCTGCAACTGTCAAGACCGTTTGCATTTCAGAATTCATCGGCGATCAGCTTCAGAGACAAAGGCAGAACTGGAACGCGCTTGGATTGCGGCATGCGAGGAGCCGGCACGCTGTCACGATCGTTTCCGGTAACGCGACCAATCGATATCGGGTGCAGTCCAACGACGGACTATCGACGACCTTGGTGGTCCAACAGCTGATCAACAGGCTGAAGGACAGAACGAGTGGCAATCACACCGCGACTATCGGCCAGAATCACATTCAGCTGGTGCATTCGCGGTTGGAGGCTCATTTTCTTGCTCGTCGAGAAATCGACAAAATAACGGTAACGATGATCGTTTTTCTACTTCTTTATCTCTCGAGTCGAACCAAGATCCTTTTATTTGTGGATGGACAAAGATTAAGGCTGACTAGTAAATGCCCTGAGAATTTTTTAAATAGTATTATATGATACTTCGAAGCGATTGTGTAAAGGGTTTTCTACGAAAGATAGGACGAAAATTTTATTTTGCTATTTTATCGTATTAGGCGTGTGCAAACGTTTCCTTCGTTTCGATGGTGGTGTGTTACTATTAGACTGCGGATATTACGCATTCATGCCCGCAGATGAGAGTGTATCAAACGAACGTATAAATCGGAGATAGTAGATCACTTTTAAAACACGAATCTCTCGTTTTTCGTCATCAGGACGAGATCGGGCTGCTGACGATTCAATTGAGAAATATCGAGAGGAAGATGCTGAGAGCCGTAAGAGAGAGGAACAACAAATCGTTGCCAGACACTGGTTTGCCGTTCCTTTTCGACTTGACGTATCATGCGATTTTGGAGCACCTCGAGAAACTTGTCAAAGCGAGAACAGTAAGCCCATACACATAGTGTACTGCTTGGAAAATTCTTCTGTATGTTTTTGCGTTATGTTATGTTATTGGCATAGAATTGGCATAGAATATGTAATTGGCATACAATATATATATATATAT